GTATAAAAATTTTGGCAAATATACAACTAAATATACAACTAAAACAAATCTTTAGTCTTTAAGATTTTTTTATGTGGGCTAATCACCCCAAGCCTCTGAAATGAAGTTTCCCACAAAAGTATCTTTTGTAGAGAAAATTATCCATAGGTATTTAAATAAATTTTAGAAGTACCTATCTAAATTTAAGTTAAATATTGACTTAACCATGACCAGCTTAAAGTTTGAATGGAACACTTACAACAATAAAAACATACACATCTCACTGCAATACAACAAAAGTAAAGAAAAAGGTTTGTTCACTTATAGCTTAGAAACATTCTACTGCTCAAAAGCAGGAGGGTTTTTAAAAGGTCAGAAGTGCCACTGGCAGGACAACCAACAGCACACCCTGAACAACTTCTACCTCAAAATCAGTCCCTTCTAATTTCTCAATCCTGCTAAGAGGACTCCTCGGCCATGGCATTACACCAGGAGCTGCTGAGCAGTTCATGGACCTGACAAAACCAAGAAAAAACCATCCTCCTAGCTAATCATCAGGACGCTCTGCATGCCAGTTAAAGGTGGCAGTTTTCCACTTCACGTGAGAAACTTCTCTTGCTGTGACTCGCTTTAAATAATATGCAAAACTCCAAGGCAAGCTCAGTTTTGCCCGTTCAGTACAGACTTTTTTCAATCCCCATTCTTCGAAAACCTCATTTTGGAACCCGCTGCCAATACCATCGAGAGGAAACCCAGCCAACAATTCCAAATATAACATGCGGAGGCAAATGCTGCAGAAATCCGTCTGACGGGAAGCAAGCATGCTGAGTGAGGTAAGGTAGATGACTGCTCAATGGGACAGTCTCAGTTCCCATTTCTGTTTGGGGCTATGAGCTTGGTAAGAGGAAATCACAATGTTTTCCACCAAATTCATTAGTCATGCCCTACAATGTTCACTTGGCTATGAGGTGATCATACCCATTTTAATCAGAAAAACGGCCCAGTAAACTCAGCTCAGGCTCAGTCAGTCTAACTTCAAACCCATCTTAGGGGCTAATCACTGTGTGACTGGCATTTTCAGAAAGTACAACTTGAGGCCCGTTCAAGGGACATTTAAAAAAGATCTTCCAGCTCGCCTAACACAGACTTGGTATCCCTCCCCACTACTCTGAATAATTGATGTACCAGTTAAACTCAGATAAATGATCCAACTGTCACCTAAGCAAGTGCTTACACATTATTTCCTGAACTCTTATTGTTCAGTAACATCACAAGAAGCACCTCTACCACTCTGTTCTTTCACAGACTCACAGAAAAAGATCCAGAAAGAAACAGGTGGCCTAGCCTAATTGAGAGAAAAATCACTGTTCTTCCCACAGAAGAAAACAGGCCAGAGAAAACAGTCAGCCTGCCTGATCATTTCCTTCTTGTAGCTACTGGTTAAAAATCTCATGGTTCTGTGCAGTATCATGATCCCAGAATTTAAACTGTGCCTCGATTTGTTTTGGAGAGACTTTACAAGGTCCTTTGCACAGTTAAGCAGACCAGGTATCCTAGAGACTTAGAAGACTAGTCTTGGAGAGCCCTGAATAAAGATCCATGCATGGTAGCAAAGCACTTTGCCTTCAAGGATTTGCAAAACTCCAGCTACACACCAATGCATTCTGGGAGGAGGAGGATGAAGTAGTCATTGTTATGTTTATCAAAGTAAATACTGCAATGCCAAGTTGAAGAAAAAGTCTGCCCAAGTCAACATTGTTTCCAAACAACTCATACAGATCAGTGGAACCTGAACCCCAAAAGGAGTCATGCATGATCATGATGAGTCAATTTTTTTTAAAAGCAGGAAATTCTCCAAGAAGACCAACTACGGCACATGAATTAGTCGATGGATTACTGTCAGACTAGCAGCACAGGGAGGAGGAAGAAATGGAGGAAGAATGTGGTGATAATGAGACCCGTCTATAGGATGAGGGTTATCAAGAATTCCTATCTGAAAATAAAGCTTCCAGCCTTCCCACCAATATCAAAAGGCACTGTTCTCCAAAATCATAAGAGACATAAATTAGGCTGCCCTACATCCACATAAACAATAGGGTGTTTTATAATTTAAACATTAACTTGGGTTGTCAGTGGTACATTCAGTTCCATCATCTTTAAGAAGAGAGGGAAACACATGCCCCACCTTACTTAGCCATAATCTCAGCTTGCCAATGACTGCTAACAATCTCATTCACCGAGGGAAAAAAATGATTTTGATTCACTGAAATCAAATATAGACAAACCAGAATTTCACTACAGCTAGAGTGAAAACAATTGTTACAGTTTGACAAGATTTAGTCTCAACTGATGAATTTAAAAATTCAGGGGTCAGGTTTTTACCCTTTCCAACCCAATTCATGCTGTACAGTGCCCAAGGTTTCCAAGGGCAGTTCCAATTTTATTAAACAGATGAGACTAAAGAGCGTGTGGGCCTTAATAAACAGCCAAATTCTGCGAAGAAGCCATTACACTCAGCTAACACCAACTACATTCAAGAGTAAAACATGAACCTACTGCTGCAAACTGATGTCCACAACCCTGCTCCAATATGACACCTACCAAACAGTTACAATCTGAAACAAGAGTAACTGAAAGTTAAGCGTCAATTCACATAAAATACCTCAGCTATAGAAATTCCAGAGCACTAAAATAGAGCCAAGAGACAGACTCCAAGAGTTTTCCTCCAGGTGTATTACACGTTACAGGAAGTATACACTGAAAAGCACGGATCTCCTCCTTTACAGTATTAGTCATTTCACCATAAAATTTTTCAATGCTACCAGCAAAGATTCCTACAGGACCAAAACATTTCTACGCCAGCAATACCGCAAGCTGGGGTGCAGTGCACTCTTGGACAAAACTATCTTGGGAACAGTAATGGGCCTCTTCCTACACAACTTCTGACCACAACCTTAATTTCCTTACTATCAGTAATCAGTCTAATAAGTAGTTCAAACCCCTACAATTAGCACAAATACAGAGTATGCAGTATTAAATTCCATCCCAAACCGGGGGTACAATGTGAATGAAGCTGGAGAAGAGAGCTTAGGCAGAATCTCTACAGGCTGAAAAGCGAGGTACAAGAGGCAGCCCCAAGAAGGGAGAGGTAAGAAGGAGCCCCCCCCCTCCAGCAAGGTTTGCTTTCTCTCCCTGTCCTCTAGCCAGTCCAGCTGCACCGCCGCCAGCCCGGGTCAACTGTTGCTGCAGGAAAGGCCAAGCCTGAGATGCAATCTGGGCTCCCGAGGCGGCCGAGGCCTTTCGGGAGGGGAGGGGATTTCTCGGGGCGGAAGCTCAAGTTTAAACGCCTCTGGGCAGAGCGGCGCAGGAGGCGGCGGCCGGCGCCCTTCCTCGGGGTGGGCGGGCAGGACAGGGGGCCGGGGCCGGGGCCGGCGCCGGCCCGGCCTCCGCTGCGCTCCCCTCCCCCGGCGGGAGGGCGCACGATTCCGCCCCGGCCGCCAAGGATTTCCGAGCCCCAGGCCGACCAAGGCGGGCCCGCCGCCGCCGCGAGACGCGCAATGGGCGCCCGGGGGTAGCTCTAATTGCGGGCCGGGGCCCCCGGCCAGGGTTGCCTAAGAGGCTTGGGGCGGGGCGCGGAGGCGGCCGGGGCTCGGCCTCCCGGGGCCGCCGCCGCGCCGGCAAATCCTCTCTGCAGCCAAAATGGCGCTGAGAATAAAAATATAATTTAGAGGCCGCCGGTCGCCATGTTGTAAACAGAGGCAGGGGCCGGCCGGGCGAGCCCGCTCCGCTCCCCTCCCCTCCCCACCCCTCCCCTCCCCTCCGGCCCGCTCCGCTCCGGCGGCGGCGGAGGCGGCGGCAGCAGCAGCAGGGGCGGCAGGAGCAGGAGGAGGAGGAGGAGGAGCAGCAGCAGCAGCAGGGCCAGGGCGGCGGGCGGGAGGCGGCGGCTCCGGCTCCCGTTATTCGCGGCGGGGGCGCGGCGGACCTACCAGCACTGGAGGTGGAAGGCGGCCGGGCAGTGGTCGCAGCAGAGCAGGTCCCCGCCCTCCTTGCAGCTATCGCAGCTGTCGTGGTTGGTGGCCCTGCCGCTCCTGCGCGGCTCCTTCTCGGGCTTGCGGCTCCTCTTCTCCCCTTCTTCGCTCTTGGGGGGGGCCAGCAGAGCTTGGATTTGCTGCGCACACGGACAAACGGGGCGTGCGTGGGGGGCCCTGCGCGGGCCCCGGCCCCCCGCCCGCCGCCCTCTCCCGCTTTGTCCTGCTCGGTGCCATCCTGCCTGCGCCCCAGGCTCTGGAGCCCCGGACTGCCCACCGAGGAGGACGGGCTCTGCGAGCGGGAGGACCGGGGCCGGGGGGGGATGGGGAGGCGGCGGGCGGACAGCGCGCTCCACTTCCTTGTATGGACACGGGGCAGGCCCTCCGAGGCCCCGGACCCGGACCGGAGGCGGACTGAGGGAGGGGAGTGGGAAGCGGCCGGTAAGGCACAAAGGGGCCGCAGAGGCGGCGCCGGGGAGGCACCCCGAGGCCACGGGATGGGGCGGGCATCCGAGCAGGGAGCTCGGATCGGGGGCGCCGAGGGCCAGGGGCTGCTGCAGAGCCTCCCGGCCGGCCGGCTCGGCCCCCCCATCAGGCCAAGAAGGGTCCAGGGGTGAGAAGCCGGGCTCCGGCCCCCTCCCCCATCCCGCCAGGCGCTCCCGGAGCGGGGCTGCTTTGTAGACCGGGGAGCCCAGACTCCCCGGCCTGCCTGCCCAAAGGGGAGGGGTCCGAGAGGGCTGCTCTTACCTCCATCAGCCCCCCCGACGTGTCCAGGTCGTACACGATCGTCTTGGTCTCCATTTTCTCCCACATTCATCCACCTCCCGGGCTGGGCGCGCTCCGCTCGGCCCCCCCCCGACCCCGAGGGGAGGGGGTGTGTGGGGGGAGGGGGCGCTCCTGACCCTCCCTCTCGCCCCAAGGGCCCGGCCTCCTCGCCCCCCCCAGCCCCAGCCCCCGGCCCCCGCGGGGCCCCCGGGGCGGCACCGTCCTCCCCTCGGGCCGTGAGGGGGGCGCGGCCCCTCAGTCCCGGGCCGGGCTGCTGGCTGCACGGCGGCTCCGGGCTCCCGGGGGCTCGGGCCTCGGCGGGGCCTAGGCCCACAGGCTAGAGCCGGCGCTGGCGGCCGCCGGCTCGGCCGGGGAGGCTGGCGGGCGCTGCCATCCCGGGAGGGGGGGTCGGGGTCGGGAGGGGGGGGCGAGAGGTGAGCTGAGGTGGTGCTGTGTGAGGGGACTGGGGGGGAAGGGGGATGGGGGGGGTCCCCGGGCTCCGCCTCTCGCCGCCGCCGCCGTCTGCGTCCCCGCTGCCGCGCACTTGGCGCAAACTTACCGCGAGCGCCCGCAAAGCCGCCCGCGCAGGCGCTCCGGGCTCGCCGCTCGCCGCGCGCAACCGCACTGACAGCCGGCGGCCTCGCTCCCGCGCAGTCGCGCAGAGTGAGCGCCCCCCAGCGCGCAGCCGCGCTGGCAAACGCCGAGAGCGCTGACGCCCCTCCCACCCAATACCGCGCCGGCGCATTGAGACCCGAAGGACTTTCTTTCTGCGCAAGCGCGTTGGGGGCTCCCGAGGCTCACGGCGCAGCCGCTAGGAATAGAGGAAACCTTCAGCTGCCGGCGTCAGTGGGCTAGTTGCCCCCCGCGCAGGCGTGCTGAAAGCTCCAGCTCCGGGCCCCCACCCCCCCACCTCCTACCCCTGCCAAAGCCGCACCCGCTTCGTGCGCAGGCGTATTGTCGCCTCACGAGAGCGCGTTTCCTTTCGCCATCTTGGTAAGGGGAGCTCATACGGGCATATCCTCGGAGCTCTCCGACTTGGGTGAGCAGGGCACGACAAGCTCTGGTGCTGGCTGGGGTTGTTAGGCCGTCGGTAGGGTCGGAGTTTTTAGTGATGTTACTCGGTACCGTTTGGCTAGGCGCCAGCGCTGACGGCTGCGCTGGATCTGGCTACCATGTTTGTAAAGGGGGGAAAGGGACATTGGGACGGAAGAGGTGTTGCTAGGGGCACCGGCAGCCACGGCCGCAGCTAGATTCCTGACCCCTCCCTGCTCGAACAGTTAATCGGAGGACGAGGATCCCGGTATTTACGGGGAGGGGGGAGGCGGTGATAACGTTTCTCACTAGAGAGCTCCGTTTGCTCTTGCCTCTGGACGACAGTTCCCGGGAACTGCTTTTCAGTACTAGGCCAGGGGCGGAGAGCTCCTCCTCCACGTCAATAGCCGGAAGTATCTGCCTACAGAGGACTTGGATTCCCAACATGCAAAGCACCAGGTGCCCCCGGGCGTGCGGGGAAGTGCATTGCAGTCTGGGAACTGAAGTCTATTAGCATCGGCGTGCACTATGGGAGTTGTAGTCCGGGAGGCGGCGAGGAACGTTTTGCACAATACAGTACTGAAAGAGCGCTGAAATTAAGGAGGTACTCAGAGGGTTCGAATCCTGCCTCCGACACTAATAGTTGTGCTTGCCGACCAGCAGGCCCAGACTCGCCCAAGAAACCAGTCGTAAGCCGGGTATGATGATAGTGCACCATCTGCGTGCATCACAGGGTCGAGAGCAAAGCGCTTTGGAAGACTATGGTAACTCCCATTTGCACTGCACTTTAAGGTTTGTAAAGCGCTTTCCCCACAATCGCCATGCAAGGTGAGAGCGTTGTGCTGTAGAAATGGGAGCTGCCGTTAGTATAACAAACAACTACGTAAGAAGGTTGTAGGTCCGCTAGGAGCTGGAGTGCTGCATGCTGGGATTTGTAGTCTCTGAGAAGTAAGTGTTCCTTCCCGGTCAAGGATAGAGGTCCCCACCGGCGGTTCCCAATGAAGTCTATAGGTCAAGAGTGAGACCCAGAACGGGTTGTTGATTGTAAGCTGTGTCAGGCCCTTAACTGAGCATTGTTAACAAGTAGCTGGGTGCACTCCCCAAGGGAGGCAGGCGTATAGGTGTCTGAAGGCCATAGGGACTGTGTTGTCCACTATTATTTCACTTAGGGCTTGGGAACACTTTGGATTGGGAGTACAGACTGAGAAGAGTAAATAAAGGTCATGCCCAAGGGTGAGGGTCCACCGGAGGGTGGACACAGAGTCATAGAACATTAAATCTAGAAAGAATCTGAGAAGTTACCAGTCATACTGCTAGTTAGTGGCAGAGTTAGGACCAGCACTCAATTTTCCTGGCTCCTTTTTACAGCCTTATGAGTCAGGGTGGTGCAGTGGAAAGACTGATGAATTTGGAAGGAGAGGACCTGCATTCAAATCCTATTTCTGCCTTTTGTCACTTATGCTACATTGGGTCACATTAAGTCACTTAACCTCCTTTGGGCCACATTTTCCTCATCTATAAAATGAGGGGTTTGGATTAGATGATGTCAGGTCTTCCAGCTGGCAATCTAGGATCCAATGATTCTCCCCACTGGACTTCGTTGCTTCACTCTAACCAATTGCTAGTCCAGATTAGCACAAGTATGTGACCTTAGGTTCCAATCTCTCCTCTTTCAGTCAGGCTACTTATGTCAAGGGAAGGAGGTGGCCTGGTGACCTCTGGGAAGTCCTGCCTCCAGGAATCCACCTATGGGGGTTAAACAGCTTGTTCACTACTCCTCTCTGCTGCCCCTCCCTGTGCTGATTAAGATTGGTGAGCAAGCTCTTCCCAGAGTGGAGCAAAGAATGAGCCATATAGCCATGCTGGTGGTGGTGGGAGGGGGGAGAAGAGGCTGCCAGCTTCAATCTCTAAAAGTTGCCCACTTTTAAGGACTCTTCCACGGGCTCTCTGAGGTTGGGACCTCAAATGCCCTGGTGTCATTGGCTTTACTCCTGCCCCTGAGGGTTCAGCTGTGCTGCTGTGTCATCCCTATGGCACTAGCTTGGCAGGGGAGCTGGGGAGAGAGGGAGAAGAGGAACCCCTGGCACCATGCCCAGCTATCAAGGGTTTGTTTTGATCGACACCATCAGTTGCAGCCACAAGCAGGAACAGGAGGAGGGCTAATGAGGGAAATCAGGCTGTTCTGGTGACAGGTGGCAGGGAACCAGACTGCTCAGGAGACCTCCCACTCAGGTCAGGGAAGAAAGGAGTAGCCCCCAAGGGCAAAGGAGAGGGCCTTGGTGGGCCGGGTGAGAAGAAGCTCCCCCTTGGAAAGCCCCAGCCTTGGAAGCAGAAGCATGAGCCAGATCTAGCAGAATCCTTTGCAGGTGACCTCTTGTGGTTGATCAGGTAACTGCACCCTCTTAATAGGATTGAGGCCGTCTCCAGTTCCTTGGGGGATGGATGAGTGAGGGAGAGATCAGAGGATCCTAGATCTGTAGTTAGAAGGGTCCCCAGAGTTCATCCTAGTCCACCCCCCTCATTTTACAGAGGATGGAAGTTGAGGCCACTCAGCTAGTAAGCATCAAGATGGATCTGGTAGCTTGCATTGCACGCTTGAGAAAAAGGATACTCAGGATTCAGCAAGAATGGTGGAGCTCTGGCGAGGTGCTTGGGGGTGTGCCGAGCTTCTGTCCTGGGTCTGGCCTGTTGCCTCCAGAACAGTGCCAGTGGAAGGAAGGGTAGAACGGACTGGGTAAGCATCTGGGCTCCTGGACCAAAGGGAGTGCCCACCAGGGGAGAAGCCGGTCATCTCCCCCTACCCAGTGGGGAGGCTCTGGGTCTCAAAGCCTCGGTTTTGTGCATAATGGCCACTCAGTAAACATTTATTCATGTGATTTTAAAGAAGCCCGGGCTCCCTTTTTGTGTCTGCCTTTGCCCTCCCCCTAATACTCTTTCAACAAGTAAACACCATCCACCTGACTGCCAGCTTTGTTGAAAACACCTTTTTAATAAGGAAACAACAGAAATGAAAGATTGGTCTCTGGCTGGAGCCCAGACCCTAGATCCTATGTTACACTTTACACGTACGAAGCGGCTTACAACCAGTTCCTTGGGTCCCCCACTGGAGCAGGCTGGACCTCTGCCTCCAGTGCCAGTTTTCTGGGCTTTTGGACTGCCCATCTCCTGGATTTATTTGCCTCTATCCCTCCCCCCCCAAAAAAAAAATAAGGAAAGAAAAAATATTGGTGGATGGAAGAGAAAATTAAATCTTTGGAGTTGGGAAAGGTTGGGTTAGGAAAGAAGGATGTTTATAATAAACCAGCACATCAGGGGAAATATCACCTGTCCTCATCCCCTTCACACACACACACACACACACACACACACACACACACTCAATCTCTTCAGAGGGTGGGGCAGGCCAGGGAAGGATAGGGTTGTCCCCTTTGGTATGGATTACAATTCCCAGGAGAACCAGTCCTGGGTGGGTGGGACTCCCCAAACCCTTAGAGTCCCTGGGATTTATTCCTTTCCACCCTTCTGGCTTTTGGGAGAGAGGAGTGGTTGTCCTCTCCTTGGATAGGAGAGGGGGATTGGGGAAGCTTATTGAGGTGGGGGGGTCATTCCAGGGAGATCCAGAGAATAGACGTCCCCTAAGAAGGCAGAGCTAATTGCAGACATGAAACCTGGGTGGGCTCCTTCCTACCTCTTGGTCAGCCCCCATTCTTTGCCTGTGAAGAACACAGGGAGAGGTTGCTGCCACCCACCTGGCCTACCTGTAGCTCATTTGCTCGTGGTTTGAGAGCATAGAGACTGAATGGAAATGCTCTGACTTCCCAGTCCCCAAGATCCAAACCTGGTGATGGGGAGAGAGGCAGAAGGCTGTTCTTCCAGGGACCAGATAGTGCTTGAGCCTGGCTTGCCCAGAGGCAAATGCCCTCATAGGCTTAGAGGTGGGCCCAGAGCAGGCAGAAGTGCCCAGGCAGATGGGTGGTGGTGGACAGTGCAGGTGGGGGAAGGTGCAGCTCTGAAAGGGCTAGGGTAGAGTCTCTTTCCAGGTGGTATGTACAGGAGGTGGGTAGGGCAGCAGATAGTGTCAGGGAAGCTGCCGACCAGTTGGTAATGCCAGGCAGGGTAGGCTCCCCCAGACTGCCCCCTCTCCCTAAATGGAGACCTCATATTCCCTTGTCTCCTGCAAAGGAAAGAGACTGCTGGGAGTTGGAAACCACCCAGCAGACCCTGGCCCACCCCCACCCTCCTGGGGAAAGGGATCTTTGGGACAAAGTGGTTCCCCCTCAAGAAAAGATGCTTGTCTGGAGCCAGGGATGAGGACTGTTGGGTAGGTTCTGTTAGGGTACTTACTCCAATCTCATAAGTAGGATTATCAAAAGCAGATTCCACGGTGATGTGGTCATAGGGACGGGGCTGAGCCAGGGGCAGCTGCAGTGGACTTTTCCCTTGGACCCTGTGGGACAGAGGGATGGGTGAGTGTCATCACTGGGCCTCTGGAAGTGTCTTGAGGCCAACGGCAGTCACACTTACCTAGAGAAGTAGAGGTAAATGCCTCCCATCAGCAATGCCATCGCCACCAGAGGCAGGAAGATGGCAGCTGCCACGTGAGCGGCATCCAGAGAGTTTGTGGTAGTGGGGGCCTTGGCAACTGTAGGCACAAAGGATAGGGGCTTGGTGGCGGTGGTCCGTGAAAACCAGGCCTCTTGTCTCCTGATGTCTACCTCCTATCTTCACCACTCCCTTTTTTTCCATTCTTCATCTCTCTGGCTTTTGTTGTTGGCATCAGTGCCAGTCCCATTGCCTTCCCTGATGAGTGCCCTGGGCCCTCCTCTTCACCAAATCACTGTTTCTGGATGAGGTGGGTTAATAATGGACGGCTTCTTCCACTGTCTTCCTTCCACCCCCTTTTCTCTTCTCTTACTCCCTAGTTGCTACATGAGATTCCCTCCCCCACCAGTAACTAGCAAAGGCAAACTTTAAGTACCAGGGATGGCATAGACCTTAGACAAGAGTAATGTGTGTGTGTGTGTGTGTGTGTGTGTGTGTGTGTGTGTGTGTGTGTGTGTGTGTGTGTATAGAAACGAGGGAGTGGGGGCTCACCGTCCAAGCTGCGACCGCTGTAGAACTCCAGAGAGGCTGGAATGAGAATTGGGAGGGGAAAAAGGAAGAGAGATCAGTGATCTAGTTAGAGCCAAGAATGAGGAGATTTGGGGGACAGGCATAGGGTTCACCCAAATAGAGCCTGAATGGATTTTCCACTTGAATTGAGGCCAGTTAGGTTAGGGAAGGGCTGAAGGAGAAAAGGGCATGCCAGGGGGAACTCTGCCCATGAGGACATTTTCTGGAAGCAAGACACACATCGTCATGGGCTACTGATAATGAAGAGATTGTTCAGTGGGGACAAGGGGAGGGGAGGAGAGAGTCAGCCAAGAAGTGGGAATGGGAGGTGTGCTGAGAAGGCTCACCAGCCTTGCAGGTGGGTGGATGGTCACTCCACTGTGAAGGATGTCCGGGCACGCACTTGATGCTGGCCTCTCCCTGCAGCACGTAACCAGGGGCACAGGAGAAGTGGAGGGTGGCACCTGGTGGGTACAGCCGCTTCTCAGGGCTGCGGACACCATTTTCGGGGGTCCCAGGACCGTGACATGGCTTGTACTGTTCCACTGCAAAGGCAGCCAGAGTCCAGTGAGGGTACTGGGACTGAACACCTGTTGGCAGTAGCCTCATCTTTTTGCCAACCCAGCTACTGCTTCTAGGGTTTGGGGACAACACTCCCTCCCTTCTCGCACCAGGACTCCAGCTTCTTATCAAAGGGAGACCCCACTCTTTCTCCTTAGTTTGTCCCATACTCTGAATAGGGCATGTGTGTGGGTAGAGGGTAGGAGTGAGGGTAAACTAGCATACTCCTCCCTTAATCCCCCATTCCCTCCCATCCCCACACCCAGTGCCATCTTGGCACTTACGGAGGCATTTGGGGGCTCGGTCACTCCACTTGGGGCTGCCTGCCTGGCGATCATGGCAGCTGAGGATGGCACTGCCTGTCAGCACGTAACCCTTGTCACAGATATACTGCACGGTGGCACCCACCGGAAACTTGGGGCTGGAGATGAGCCGGCGGCTATGATCCACGTCCCCGGGGTCATGGCATGAAGTCACTGGAGGTTTGGGGGGGGGGCGCAGAACAAGCTGAGGCCGAGGCTGGGCATGGCCTGCATATATCTCCTGCCTGGTCCTGCCCTCCTCCTGCCCCATTCCCCAGACACACATGGGTACAGATTCCCAGACTAGCTCTATTTCCTTTCTGTCTTGACTTATTTTTGGGTACTTACAATGTAAATAAGGGCAGTTCTAGGCACTGTGATAGATAAAGCACAAAGGAATGAGACTGGAGACCAGATCCCAACTTGTAAAAGTCTTAAAATCCTGTTGAGGGGGAAGGGAATGAGATACCCACATAACAAGATAACTAGTGTAATGACTGGCATGAGTGGTAAAGCTGGTGTTTGTGGAGGGAGAGGGCAAGATCACTGAACTCATCAAAGAAGGCTTGTTGGGGGTGTGGGTGGGATTTGAAGTGGATGAATAGGATTTAGCCAAATGGAAAAGGGGTGGCATCCCAGGGAGGGGGCACAGCTTGAGCAAAGGTAGACAGGAGGAAATGAGCATGTCCTTTTGGGAGTCAGGGACGTAGCTCTTATGCTATCCCTTAGACCAGGGGTGGGTCTGGAGGCCACATGTGTCCTTCTAGGTCCTCGGGTGCGGCCCTCTGAGTCCAAGTTTTACAGAACAAATCCTTTTATTGAGGGGATTTGTTCTGTGAAGTTTGGATGCAGTCAAAGGGCCACACTTGAGGACCTAGAGGGCCACGTGTGGCCTTGAGACCCAAAGGTTCGCCACCCCTGCCTTAGACCCTTGTACCTGGCATTAGACTGGAAGCTTCTTGAGGGCAGGACTATCTTTTGCCTCTTTTTGCATCCCCAGTGCATAGCGAAATGCCTGGCACACTGCAGGTACTTAATAAATGCTTATTGATTGATAGATAGCATGGCTCTCCGATCCTTTCCCTCATGTCTTTGCTTTCCTCTGCCTCTACGTTTCTACCCCTTTGTATCTGCTTGACTGTTTCTGATCTGGGACCAGCTAAACGTGGGGGCGGGGAAGGGAAGCCCACTCACCCTTCTGACAGGTGGGCAGGTCTTCACTCCAGGTAAGATCCCATTGGCACATGAGGGTGTTGGCTCCAGTCACTTCGAAGCCAGGGTAGCACTGGAAGGTGACCACAGTGCCATGGACCAGCTCAGGTTGGGACGGGCTCTTCCAGCCATTGGGGATCTCGGGCAGCTCTGGGCACGTGTCGTTGCGGGGCACCTCTGGAGACACAAGCATGTCAGGGCTTGGGCCCATGGGGGAAGAAGGGACAACGAAGTGGTCACAGACTATCCCAGGCATCAATGCAGTCTGTAAGAGGCTTGGTGCCTCCTTCCTCTTTGCCCTCAAGGCTGCCCACGTGCCCCTCTTTATCCAGCCTTTGCCCTCTGTTGGCAACCTCTGCCAACTTCAGTGTTCTAGTGGCCTTCATACTTCTCCATCGCCTTTCCTTAGATTATCCAGAGTTGGAAGAGACCTCAGAAGCCATCTTAATCCAACCCCAACATTTTATAAATGGGAGACTGAGACCCAGGTGGGTTAAGTAACTTACCCAAAGTCACATAAATATTAAGCATTAGAGGTGGGATTTAAACCCAGATCATCTGACTGCAAAATCAGTATACTCTTTCCAATATACTGTACTGCCTCCATCTCTCTCATCTCCTCTTTCTTTCTTTCTTTCTTTCTTTCTTTCTTTCTTTCTTTCTTTCTTTCTTTCTTTCTTTCTTTCTTTCTTTCTTTCTTTCTTCCTTCCTTCCTTCCTTCTTTCCTTCCTTCCTTCCTTCCTTCCTTCCTTCCTTCCTTCCTTCCTTCCTTCCTTCCTTCCTTCCTTCCTTCTCTCTCTTTCTTTCTTTCTTCTCTTTTTCTCTTTCTCCCTTCCTCTCTCTCCTCTTTTGTTCTTTTTTCTCTTTTTCTTTCTCTTTTTTCCTTTCTCCCTTCTCTCTCTCTCCCCTCCCCTCTCCTCTTTTATTCTTTCTTTTTTCTCTTTTTCTCTTTCTCCCTCCTCTCCTCTTTTGTTCTTTTTTCTCTTTTTCTTTCTTTTTTCTTTCTCCCTTTCTCTCCTCTTTCTTTTTTCTTTTTCTTTCTCCTTTCCTCTCTCTCCTCTTCTCTCTTGTTCTTTCTTTTTTCTCTTTTTCTTTCTCTTTTTCTCTTTCTCCCTTCCTCTCCCTCTCTCTCCTCTCTACTTTTGTTCTTTCTTTTTTCTTTTTCTCTTCCTTCCTTGCTCTCTCTCTTCCTCCCTCACTCCCCCTCCTCCCCAGGTCACTTCAGTCACCTCCTTGCTCCTAGAACCTGTATCTCACTAGATGATGTGTGTGCATAAGGAGTGGGGCTGCAACTGTGTCTCATCTATCGTTAAAGGCCTTCGTGGAAAGACATGCAGCCATGTTCCTTTAGTCCTGGCCCTGGCCATGCCCCTGACCCAGTGGCCCATTCCCTAACCTCAGCTTCGCCTTTTTCTCTTGAGGCCTGTCCCCAGAATGTTAGAGCTGTGAGAAACTTCAGAGATGAAGAAACTGGAGCCCACCAAAGGGAGGTGACTTGTCCAAGGTCACACAGATAGTTAACAATTGAGCTGTGCCTAGAACCAAGTCTGTAGACTCTTGCTCCAGTGCTCCTTTCCCTCTATCATGTTGGTCTGACCCTCTCCCCATCAATCAACCAATGTTTACTGGAAGCCTCCGAGGAGCCTTGTTTTTGGAGTCTGAGAATGTAGGTTCAAGCCCTGGCTCCATCATTAATTACTCGTGAGATTTCAGGTAAGATGGCATCATTAGTACATCAGAACCTGTTGCCTCTGGAGTCTGAGTACCGGGTTTGAATCCCACTATTCTTATTCCCTGTGCTGCCTCAGGCAAGTCCCTTGGCCTTCCCAGGTCTCAGTTGCCTCATCTGTAAAGTGGGGGAGGGGGTTGGACTGATGGCATCTGAGGCCCCTTGCAGTTCCGAATATGTGGAACAGTGTGGTGGTCTGTGTGTCTCTCTGCCTCGATGGGAAGTTCTTTCTGCTATCTGACTTAAAGTCCCCCTCTTGCAATGAGACTGCATTGTTTTTCTTAGTGGGTACTCAGAGGAGACGGAGAGCAGAGGGTAACTTTCTTCTCAATAATATCCTTTCAGAAACTGGGCAGGCGGCTGTCCTTGGGTGCCCCCTAGCCTTCTCTTCCTAGGTGTGAGCATCTTATCTCCTCACTCTCACTGCCCCTTTTTTATGGCAGTTCGTCCCATTTCCATCTTCCCTCCCTTTCTTCTTTGATGCTCTCTCCCTCCCTTTTCAGTGGTCTCCTTCCTCCAGGAAGCCCTCCCTGATGCCACGGACTGGCTGCCTCTCAGTGTGGGGGGAGAGTGAAGCTGGGAAGGGAGGTGGGCTCACCAAAGAAGTGGATGACAAACCCCTGCTGGTAGCCCACGGCAGAGGCCCCGGGGTCTGACTGGAACTGGATGGTGACGTCCGCCATGGAGGTGAACAGCTTGAAGTGTCTGTGGGTTCCCGAGTACTGCCCCAGCACCCGGGCAGTTAGATCGTCCCCGTCATAGAAGGTCAGCACGTCTCCTTGGCCGATCCGAAGCCTATTCCAAGGTTAAGGGATAGGATGGGGTGGAGGGGGAGAAGTGAGTGCCATCAGGACTGAGGGCAGAGAGCCAAGGGAACCCACTGGGCAAGAGGAGAAGATAGGGCTTAGGAATCGCAGCCCTAGAGCTGGAAGAGACCTTAGACTAGTCTCACCCCCTCATCTTACAGAAAAGGAAACTGAGGCCCAGGGAAGTATAAGTGGCCTAGACTCATAAGCTCGTACATTTAGAGAGGGACTTCAGAAGCTACATCTAATCTAAATCTCTCATTATACCAAAGAGGAAACTGAGGCCCAGGAAGGGGGCAGAGATGGTGGAGATGGTGGTTAAGTAACTTGCCCAAGGCCACAGATATGCTGAATGTGAATGGTGGGATTTGAATCTGGTTCTTTCTTCTGCATCCTCAGGAATATTCCTGTCTCTTCTGATTAACCCAGACCTTTCTGTTCTGTTCTGGTTCTCTTTGGGCTTGGGGTGCCCTCCGTTCCCCTTCCCCTGGTCCCACCTTTAGCCCACTCACACACGGATGTCCAGCATGATACGTTTATCCTCTTCCACGTGCAGACCCCAGATGCAGTCCTGTCCCTTGCCATAGGGCTCCGGCCAGTTGGGTGAGAGCACCACGCCAGCGGAGTCTGTGATCTCCCCACTACACACAGCTTGGTGGAGAGGAGCAGGGGGCTAAGGCTTAGGCCTACTGTTCTGCCAGCTCCTTTTTTGTGGTTCCCATCCTTTGGTCCAGCCCCACCACTGGTATCTACTCTCCTGCCCCACCCGACCACCTCCTTGCCCGAGTGTGTGGCTCTCCCCAGCACCCAGGGTGCCCACCCATATCTGTGCCCTCGTGGCAGTCCCTGTCTGTGGTTCCCCAGCCTTCCCTCAATTGCTGACCTCGACAGGCAGGCTCAGTCTCGTTCCACTGGGGGTCATGGGGGTCAATGCACTCAATGATGATGGATCCCTGTTCCAGGGTATAGCCAGGGTCACAGCTGAACTCCACCGTGGTGCCCACAGGGTAGGAGGCGGCGCTGCTGCTGAAGTTGCCGTATTTCACGAAGGGCTCATAACAGTGGCCCTGTTGAAAGGCTGCAAGCCATGGGGGCTGCCTCAGGAGACAGGGGCTGGCTCCCATCGCCCTCTCTGCCTTCCTGGCACCCAGCTCTTGGGAGTGGCCACAGGGATATTCCAGTGGGGTCCCTCACTATCTGTATATCTCTGTTACTGCCTCTACCTCTCATTCTATAGCCCAAGAGGCTGTATCCTGCTGGGGTTAGAGGTAGGTGGGGTAGGGAGAGTGAAGCCCTTTGGACCTTCGAGGATCAAGGCATAATATTCCACAACAGAGGAGGCTTTGAGATAGCGAGGCAATATAGGAAGATCTCCTTGGGCCTCTCTGAGGCCTGAGGTCTGAGTTTAATCCCTTGAAACTTGCAAAACCACCCCTTGTGATTAGAGGGTCTTGGGGATCTAAGTGCCTACAGATGGCTATCAAAACCCCAAACTGGGCCTTAAAGGGTGGGATGGGCTAGGCAAAACATGGAGGAATGCAATCAAAGAGAGAGAAAGAGAGACAGAGACACACACACAGAAACAGAGAGAGAAAGATGAGAGAGAGAAAAATGAGAGGGAAGGAGACAGAGACAGAGAAAGGAGAGAGATAGAGAGAGAGGCAATATGGGAGAAAAAGATATGAGAGAGAAAAGGAGAGAGATGAGAGAAAGAGAGAAAGGTGAGATATGAGAGAAAAGGAGGTATGAGAGAAAGGAGATGGGAGAGAAAGGAGAAAGAGAGAGAGGGAGAGAGAAAGAGAAGGGGGGGAGGGAGAGAGAGAGAGAGAGAAAGAGAGAGAGAGCAGGAGCGATCACCAGGTCATTGTCATGGAGGTTGGGATAGACAGAAGGCAGGAAGTAGATGATCAGAGACAGGGAGATATGGAGAGAGAAGGAAGGATGGTGAATGACAGAGACAATGGGTGGTAGAGACCGCCAGTGAGCAGAAAGAAGAGAAAGCGAAGCCGCAGGGCCCCTTAGTGGGCGAGGAAGCCCAGCTCACCCTCATAGCGCAGTGCCACGCCTGCTGCCGCCCCGCTGCTGTCTGTAGTGAGCTCCACGAAGAAATGGCGGCCGGCACTGAGCAAGCCCTCGATGGGCAGATATTCAACCTCGTAGGAGTCGTACACGGGGGGGGCCTCTACTGTGTCTCCATTTCGGATGGTGAGTCTGGGAACCCCCAGCAGTCAATCAGTCAATCAACCAACCAACGAGCATGCATTAGGCACCTACTATATACTAGTCAGGTACTGTACAGGTGCTAGGGAGACAAAAAGGCTGCCCTCAGATAGCTTACATTCTTCCGCATAGAGTTATGCACACAATATTTGCAAATTATAGGGTAGTATTTTGGGGAGGCCCTAACAGCTGAGGGTATTAGGATAAAGTGGCTTTTTCATCCCCACCCCTTCCCACAGAGGGGGCCCAAAGGCATTGTACCCAGGCTCTTTAGCTACAGGGGTACTGGGACAGAGCTAGTTTCTCTCCCCTGGCCCCTAGGGTTACTCCTGGGAACTCTGAGTCAGCTGGGCAAACTGCTGGGCTCTTAGGTCAGTGTTTAGAACTTCTCAGCTTCTTTAAGGCCACCTCTTACATGAAGCCTTTCCTGATTGCCCTCCCCCACCAGCCCCCTTCTCTGATATTACCTTGTGTTTGCCTCACAGATATTTTTAATTTACTTAACTGTGTAGTGTTTCCCTCTGTAGAATGTAATCTCCTTTAGGGCAGGGAGGGTTTCATTTCTGTTTTGGTCTCCCTGGGGCATAGCACTGTGCCTGGCACAAAAGGAAGTGCTTATAAAATGCTCATTGGAAAAGTTCCATCTGAGTAATTATAACAACCAAGCTTGGTCTCCGAGAAGCTCTGAGAAAAAGGCAGAGGGTGGGGGACCATGGGTGTGGAATATGGTATATCCTGTAGGTCCAGTTCATAGGATTATAGAGCTCAGGCTGGGAGAGAATTCAAAGACTGTCTAGTTCAACCCCCTCATTTTATAGATGGAGAAACTGAGGCCCCAAAACCTAGATAGTGAGAGAGGTGGGATTTGAACCCAGGTCCTCTGCCTCTGGAGCCTGGGTTCTTTACACTGATGTGTCTGTCAGTTTTTGCCGAAATGCCTTTTTTTGCTTTTCCACTCTTTCTCTTTCAGTCCGTCTCATGAGGGATGGCCCGCTGGGCTGGGGAAGGGATAGATTCAGAAATGAAGGGAACATAAAAACAAAAATAAGATGAAAACACAGGTGTTCATGGAACTGACCCCGGGCCCGACTTGTACCTGTCATCATCTTCTGCCAGGGAGACCTTCTCAAAGTGGAGGTGCAAGCGTTGCCCCGTCGGAGCCTCCAGCAGCCAGTGACAGGTGAGGTTGTTACTGTAGTTCCCGGGGAAGCCGGGGGACACGATGCGGCCAGTCGTGGCGTTCCGGATCACCCCTCCACACGCGGCTGCCAGGCGGGGGGAAGCCCAGGCTTAATTAAATAGGCAGGCATCACGACATTATAGGATCATAGATCTACAGCTGGAAGGGGCCTCAGAATCCATCCCTTTATTTTACAGATAGGGAAACCGAGGCTCCAGGGGCTAACCTGATTTGCCCAAAGGTAGTAAGTGCTAAAGTAAGAATTTGAACCCAGGCCCTGGGAATCTAAAGTCAGTAGCTCTTACTTCATAGGTCCCTGCTAACCACTTCTGAAATGAAAGGAGGATTCAACTCTTCCACCCAAATGTTTGCTCCTGGCTTCTGCTTTTTCCATGCCAGTCACGTGGTCCTTTTCCTATCCTCCTTCGTATACCCTTCCTCTCCGTCCCCTCTGCTTCCACTCAGGTTTCAGGTCCAGCCTCTGCAGTCTTGAATATTTGAAACTACCTGTGAATTGCTGCTACCACTCTGGAAAGGAATTAGGGACTATGCCCCCAAAGTTACTCAGCTGTGCCTACCCCTTGACCCAGCAATACCAGGGCTCAGCTCATGCCCCTAAGAGATCACAGAGAGAGGAAAAGGTCCTATAGGTACGAAGATACCTATAGCAGCTCTTTTTGTAGTAGTAAAGAGCTGGGCAGTAAGGGGGTGCCCATTAATTGGGGAACGGCTGAATAAATGATGTCATGTGAATGGAAGGGAATGTTACAGTGCTATAAGAAATGAGGAAGATGATGGCGTCAGAGGAAAAAGGGGGGACTCATGAATTAATGCAGAGAAAAGTAAGCAGAATTAGGAGAACAATTTAGACTATAACATCAATATTGTAAAAATGGACCCTTTGAAAGACTCAAGACCTCTGCGCAACTCAGTGACTGTCCGTGATTCCAGGGGCCCGATGATGAGGCAGAATGCTGCCTGCCTTAGGACAGAATAGTAATGGATTAATACACAGAATGAGACCCCCAGTTTTGGAGTTGGCCAGTGTGAGAATGTGTTTTGTCTGATTGTGCTTATATAATACAAGGGGGTTGTGTTTCTTTTGTTTTTTGTTTTTTTCTTTTTCCCAGTGGAGGCTAGGTGAGATGGAATGGAGAAAAAAATGCTTGATAATTTAAAAAATGCATTAAAATAAAATAAAATACTTCTCTCCTCCTATCTGCCATGTTCCGTCTCTTCTCTCCCAGACAACCTCGCCTAGGACTCCTGCCTTGTGGATGGATACCAGCCACCCTCCAACATCCCATCATCTTTCCCAATGCCACCAGCAGCCCTCTGAAGCCCAGGCAGAATTCTTGTCCTTATTTTGAGTATGCTGCTCTGTGGCCTGGGGCTGACTCCATTTTGGGGTGAGGCTGGTCTACAGGAAAGAGCCCTGGCTTGGGAGCCCTGAGACCATTTTGAGCTCCATCATATATTAGTTTTGTGATGGAGGGGGGCAAATCACTTCTGAACCTCAGTTTCCTCATCTCTAAAGAGGGGATAATCCTGGCTCCCTTGCTTCTTGATTTCCTCACTTGGTCATCTCATCAGCTCCGTGGATTTAATTACCATCTCTATGCTGATGACTCTCAAATCTGCCTTTCCTGCTCCAGCTTCTCTGCTGACCTCCGACTGCCTTTCAGACATCTCAAAATGGATGTGCAGGAAATATTTTAAACTCACCGTATCCAAAACTGGACCTATCCTCTTTCCCCCAAACCCATTTTCCCTATTATTGTCACTTTTTTTTTTTTGAGTGAGGCAATTGCCCAGGGTCACACAGTTAGTGAATATCATGTGTCTGAGGCCGGATTTGAACTCAGGTCCTCCTGATTCCAGAGCCAGTGCTCTATCCACTTCGCCACTCAGCTGCCCCACTTTCCCTATTATTGTCAAGGGCAATAGCATTCTCCCAGTCCCTCAGATTGATAATCTAGGGGTTATCCTGGACTCCTCACCTCCCATATCAAAGCCTGTCGATTTTAATCTTTGCAATGTCTCTAGAATACACCCCCTTTGTTTCTGATACTGCTGATGCAGGCCATCCTTGCCTCATGTCTGGACTACGGCAATGTCCTGCTGGTGGGTCTCAAGTCCCTTTCCACTCCAAACCATCCTCTGTTTACCACTAATGAGATTTTTATAAAAGGGAGGTCTGATCATGTCACCCCCCTGCAGTGGCTCCCTGTTACCTCTAGGGTCAAATGCAAAATGCTCTGTTTGCCTTCCAAAGCCCTTGGTAATCTAGCCCCCTCCAGCCTTTCCCAGTCTTCTTATGCCTTCCTCCCCACTGTGATCCGGTGACTCTGACCTCCTAGCTGGGTCACAGACAAGACTCTCCACTTGTTGGCTCTGCGCATTCTCCTCAGGTCTGGAATGCTCTCCCCTCTCTGTTCTGCCTGCTTCCCTGGCTTCCTTTAAGTCCCAACTAAAACCCCACCTCCTAGGGGCAGCTAGGTGGTGCAGTAGATAGAGTACCGGCCCTGGAGTCAGGAGGACCCGAGTTCAAATGTGGCCTCAGACACTTGACACTTACTAGCTGTGTGACCCTGGGTGAGTCATTTAACCTCAATTGCCTCATGAAAGAAAATAAATTTTAAAAAATCCCACCTCCTACAGGAAACCTTCCTCAACCCGTCTTAATTCCAGTGCCTTCTTTCTGTTAATTATTTCCTGTTTATCCTCTATCCAACTTACTTTGTATATATTTGTTTGCATGTTGTCTCCTCCATTAGGTTGTAAGCTCCTGGAGGGCAGGGTCTGTCTTTTGCCTCTTAGCACAGTGCCTGGTATATAGTAGGCACTTAATAAATGTTTACTGGTTGATTGGCTGCCTCACAGAGAGATTGAAAATGCATGGGGAAACTGAAAATTGCTTTCCAAATGTGAGACACCGAAGTTGACAATAATCTGACCTGTCTTTCCCATGAGACTGTAAAATCATCAACTAAGCCATTAACTAACTTGCCCATCTCGGAAAGGTCATTTAGCTCTTCTCTGTGGGCTTTGCTGCTACTAATGGGTCCATTAGTAGTTCCTGCCCTGCTTACCTCACCGAGTCAGTGTGAGGATCAAAGGAGATCGTGTTTGTAAAGCATTTGTCCCATAAAGCATTCCATGAACGTGAGCTGTTATAATTACTGAGAGGCTGTGTGTAATACAGGCTGGCGAGTTGGTCACAGACTCAGAAAGACCTGAGTTCATGGTGGCTGTGTGACCCTGGGCAAATCGCTTAACCTCTTTGTTGTTTTTGGCGAGGCAATTGGAGTTAAGTGACTTGTCCAGGGTCACACAGCTAGTGTCAGATCTGAGGCCAGATTTGAACTCAGGTTGTCCTGACTCCAGGGGAGGTGCTCTATCCACTGTGCCACCTAGCTGCCCCCACTTAACCTCTCAGTGCCCTAGACAAGTCTTTAAGACTAGAAGTGCCGGAGCATTGGGAGAAGGAATTTCCTTTCAAGCAGTCCTCTAATATGGTGAAATCCTAGGTCTGGTCCAAAGCACACACACATTCTGATTGTACAGGCAGTCATTTGGTCAATGCAGGGTTGCGGAGAGACTAAGTTAGGGAACAAAGACCTATTCCCGCCACTAGAGAAGCATCTTTAGCTCTGGTGGGACGGTTTAACACTTTTACAGATAAGAGTAGACTAGACCCTGCCTATTGATTGGCCTCAGACCTGAACCAGCCTCCAAAAAAAAGGTCCCAAAGGCCACATCCTTTGTTCCTACTTTCCTGACTTCCCCGCTGATGCCCTGCTGCAGGTTAAGGGCTTTGGGGTGGCTCGGGGAAGGACTTAGGCCTCCCCCCAGACAAGAGAGCAGGAATGAAGTCCCCAGCCCTTGGAGTGTCACTCACCGATGCAGGTGGGCTCCCGGGAGTCCCAGAACGGCCGGGTGGCATTGAGACAAGTGAGGACTCTGGCGCCCTGCAGCTGGTAGCCAGTCGTGCAGTGGAAGCGGGCCTTGCCACCGGGGTGGAGACTCGTGACGGCCGCGTCCCCGTAGGCTGGGCGCTGGGGAAAGCCGCAGCTCAGCAGGTAAGCTGAAGGACCAAAGGAAGAAAGTGAGTTTGGGGTCAGGGGGCAGAGGGACAAGTCAGACTATTCTGCATGCTGTGACACACTGAGATAGGGAAAGGTCCCTGGGAGGGTCTGGTGGAAAGAACTCAGGAGGGACGGAGAGTGAGAGATGAGATCTAGGCCTCGTGTTACTCCAGACTTGCTGTTTGACCTGGGACAAGTCACTTAACCTGGCTCTCTGCTCTTCCAGCTGTGAAATAGGGATAATATAACTTGTCCTCCCTGTCTTACAGGGGTCTGTTGTGAGAGTAAAATGAGATAACAGTTGGGAAAGATAAAAGACCACCAGAGAGAAATATAAGGCTTCATTGTTATAATTATTAACTGTGGAGGCAAAACAAGAAAAAAAAAAGGTTGGTTTTATAGTGTGGAAAAATTTAAGTTACACACTCAGAATTCCCTCAGAGAACCTACTCAGTTAAGAGATTTATAAATGGATGAGCGTTGTGAATTTCTTTTAAGGAACAGGATGGAACATAGTAAATATGGAAATATGTTTTGCATGACTTCACATGTATAAGCAAATCATATTGCTGGCTTTCTTAAGGGGTGGGGGAGGGGCAGGTTGGAGGGAGAGAATTTGGAACTCATAATTTAAAAAAAAGAATGTTAAAATTTTTTTACATGTAGTTGGGAAATAGTTAATGAAATAAGTAAAAAAATATATTAAGAACAGGATTGACTTCCTTTTCTAGGCAGAGAGGTGGAGGTATGGATGCGGAGTGAAGCGTACAACGTCAGACTTGATCTAGGTTTATTTGTTATGTTTAATTACTTTGTTACAAGGGAGACGTCTACCCGTGTGGGTAGGGGCAGGAAGGAGTACAGTGGGAAGTCATAACGATGTTGTTTTTTAAAACCCTTCCAATGAAATGTCTGTTTCATTTTATTTTTTAAAAAAATAGAATGACGACTTTTGCATTTATGATAACCCAAACCCTGCTTATGGAGGGAGGGCCCAATCCTTCTCTGAGGTTGGAGAAGGAACACCTGATGAGTAAATGAGGCTTATTTATTTATTAGTTTTATTGGGGAGTAGCTGCATGGGTCCGGTGGAAAAAGCCCTGGGAGGGGGAGGGAATCCAGCTCTGCCCCTTAATAGCCTCTTAACTGCTCTTGGCCTCTCTGTATTCATCTGCAAAACAGACTAGACCTTTAAAAGTTGCCACTAGGCTTGGTCTTTCTAGCATCGGCCAGTCTTGGGCTTTCGGGACTGGGATAAGTTGCTCTGTGATGAGCTGTCATGCCAATTCTAACCAGCTGGTGGCAGCAAATCCTGCGGAACAGTCAGGGTGCCCCCAGTCCCGGGACTGACTGGGCTGATTTTGGAGCAGGGATGAAAGGTAGGGAGTGGAGGCAAAGGGCAGGGGCCATATTCAGAAAGAATGGGGTTGACATGCAGCGTTCCTTAACTAGATTCTTGGCGGAAACTGAAGAACTATCTGGGAGCTGGGCAGTTTTCAATAGCTCTGTTAACCTGGGGGAGTAGGGTTTCACTGATGGATATTTCTTTACAGGAACTGAGCCATCAGGATGCAGATTGCTTTGCTATTTACTGTATGGATTCCGTTCTCAATGGATGTCCTGGGATGGAGAGGAAGTGGGAGCCAGGCCCTAGGGGTGGAACTGTGGAGGGGAAAGCATCCAGATGTGCATATGTTTACACATGTGAAAAGTGTGGGGATCAAGTAAAGTGAATTAATGATCCTAGTGAAGGGAGGCATATTTGAAATAGTGGCTATCACTGAGTCCTGAGTGTGGCTCTGGAGGGCTTTATTTAAAAACAAATAAATAAACCAGGAGAGGAAAAAAGTGAGGTAGCATTCTATATAGGGTGTCCCAAAAGTCTTAATGTAATTTTAAGCTATGAAAGCTTAAGATGAGCTTTTATAGCTCATTAAAGTTTCAAAACTGCACTAAGACTTTTGGGACAACCCTGTGTTAGGAAGGTACACTCACGTGTGGGAATCCAAGAATAAGGGCAAGGGGAGGCGTGGTGGAATACATCAGTGGGGGCAGAAGGAAGAGGCAGCATTGTCACCAGATCACTGAGGCGCCAAAGAAAAAGCAAGTGAAAGATTTGGTTTGAAAGAATCACAAATCTGTTATGGAAGTGTAACATAGCAGTGAGTATTGTATAGTGGAAAGGGAACTATCTCTGGAGTCAGATGACCTGGGTTCAAATCTTACCTCTGACACTACCTACGTGATCTTGGGCAAATTACAACCTCCGTTTCCTCATTTGTAAAATGAGGGGGTTGGACTCCATGGCTTTGGAGGTCCCTTCCAGAAGACTTCAGATCAAACCCTGTATCAGATGGCAGCTGTGTGACCCCAGACAAGTGATTGAACCTCTGGCTGCCTCAGTTTCTCCAACGAGGATAATAATAGCACCTACTTCCCAGGGTTGTTGTGAGGATCAGATGAGGTATTTACAGAGCTTTGCAAACCTTAAAGTGCTATATAAGTGCTAGTTATTATTATCCCATGAACAAATGATGAGCACTTATGAAGTGCTCCCCATGTGCCAGGCACTGTCCCGGCTAGTAATGATCTTCCTTTCCTTTTGCTCTCCTTGGCATCGTCTGACTTCTGACCTTCTGTAGTTACTTCCTGATGATCTCCTAATCACCAAATACAGTGACCTTTCTTAATTCTCACCCTTCTTGACCTCTCTGCAGCCTTTGGTGTTTGTGGTCACCTCTTCTCCTTGATTTTCTCTTTTCTCTAAGCTTTCGGGACACCCTTCTCTGTCTGTCTCTCTCTCTCTCCATCTCTCTGTCTCTCTCCTTTCCCTTTATCCTCTCTCTCTCTCTCTTTCTCTTTCTCTCTCTCTCTGTCTCTGTCTGTCTGTCTGTCTGTCTGTCTGTCTCTCTCTCTCTCTCTCTCTCTCTCTCTCTCTCTCTCTCTCTCTCTCTCTCTCCTGGCTCTTCTCCATGTCTGACCACTCCTCAGTCCCCTTTTCTGGATCTTCATCCAGGTTACTCTTGTTAACCACAGATGTCCTACAAGGCTCTGTCCTCCCTCTTCCACAATTTCACTTGGTGAATTCAGTCCCTATGAATTCATCTGTCATTTTTATGCTGATAATTTTCAGATTTATTTGTCCAGCCCTAATCTCTCTTGATCTCCAGTCTTTTGCTCCAACTGGCTATTAAACATATTGAATTGGATGTCCTGTAGACATCTTAAACCCAACATGTCCAAAACTGAGTTTATTATCTTTGCCCTCAAACCTTCCTCTCTTCCTAACTTTCCTGTTACAATTAAGGGCACTACTGACCCTCCCAGTTGCCCAAGCTTGAAACCTACTTGACGTCCTACACTCTTCCTTCTCTCTTACGCCTCATATCCAATCGGCTGCCAGGTTCCATCCTTATTTGCCTCAGTTGCCTCATCTATTAAATGAGCTGGAGAAGGAAATGGCAAACCACTCCAGTGTCTTTGCCAAGAAAACCCTAAATGGGGTCCTGAAGAGTTGGACACAACTGAAAAACATCTGAACAGTCAACCAGGAAGGACGAGAGATTCTCAAAGGGGAATTTTGAAGACAAAAGAGAAACAATTCCAACAAGAGAAGTAGCTTAAAGAGACCAAGGTGGATGCAAAAGGCACTCACCCGACCAACTTATATTTTTGCAAGGTGAGTACAGATGATGGAAACAAGGGGGGGTAATGGGGGATAACTAGAAAAGCATGGTAAAATCATGTAAAAGTGCTGTCGAGTTATAAAGTTCAGAATAAGATGGGACTGCAAAGGAAGGCCAAGGACCACAAAAAAGGGGTTTGGGGTTTTGTTTTTTAGCTACATTGGGAAAAAGAAGGTCAAAGAAGGAAGAGGACCATTGCTTGGGGGTGGATTGGGTGATGATGGACAATGGTGAGAAGGCAAGACTTTCATTTAGCCTCTGTTTACTGCTCTTCATCCAAGGACAATGACCTTTGTATTGAAAAGGACAGAACAAAGAAGACAATCCAACCAAAGTAGGAAGAAAATAAAAGGACCACCTATCTGTATTTGATGTGTTCAAGCCGTCAGGACCAGATGAACTACACCTCTGGGAATTGAAAGTACTGGGGGATGTGATTGCTAAGCCTTTATCAGTGATTTTGAAAAATTATGGAAAATGGGAAACGTACTGAAGGCTTAGAGAAGGGAAAACACTGTCCCAATTTTCTAAAAATAGAAGACAGTGGATGGTTCAAATTATAGTCAAGTGAGCTTGGCTTCAGTTCGAGTGCCTAGTTCATAGTGGGTACTTAACTGTTCTGTGTCTGACTCTCCGTGACCCCATTTGGGGTTTCCATGGCAAATATTCTGGAGTGGGTTACTGTTTACTTCTCCAGCTCATCTGACAGAGGAGGAAACTGAGGCAAACAGTGACTTGCTAGTAAGTGTCTGGGGCCAGATTTGAACTCAGGAAGACGAGTCTTTCAGATTCCATGCCAGGCGCTCTATCCACTGTGCCACCTAGATGCCCAAGTAGGCACTTAATAAATGTTAATTGAGTGACTGACAATTCCTGGTTAAATTCTAGGTCATATTATTAAAGGAATAGTTATTGAGCCGAATCTAGAAAAAGGTCATCATGAAAAGCTAGCATGGCTTCCTTCATCGAGCATGGGTCATGCCAAGTTCATTTCTTTTCTTTATGGGGTTATTAGGCTAGTAGATTAAGGGAATTCTGTAGATATGGTTTAACTGAATTTTAGGGATGAATTTGATTTTTGAAAAAATTCTCTCATGCTATTTTTATGGATTAGATATCAAGCAACGTAATTCGACAGAAACGTTGGTGGCAGAGTGGACGGAATGCTGGACCTGGAGGCAGGAAGATCTGAGTTCGCATAGCCGCAGACACTTACTGTGTGACCTTGGGCAAGCCCCTTAACTGCTGTCTGTCTCAGTTTACTCAACTGCAGAATGGGGATCGTAATAACACCTATCTCCCAGGGTTGTTGGGAGGATCAAATGAGACCATATTTGCAAAGCGCTTAGCACAGTGCCTGGCACGTAGGAAGCATTTAACAAATGTGTGTTTCCTTCCCTTTCTCCTTCAGTGAGGAGAATTTGGAACTGTTTGAACAGTCAGATCCAAAGAGCATCGCTGGTGCTTGATTTCGATTTGCAAGGAGGTCACTAGTGGAGCATCCCAGGAGCCTGTCTTCGGTCCTATGCTGATCAGCATTTTTAATCAACGAGCTGAATGATGCTCGACATGGCATGCGCATCAAATTTGCATGTGACACAAAGCTGGGAGGGACAGCCAGAGTGCTACACGACAAAGATCTCGACGGGTTAGAATGTTGGACTCGGTCTAATAAGGAAAAATTGAATTGGGGGACAAACGTAAAGCCTTGTATTTGGGTGCAAAAAGTCAATTTCATTAATACAAGATGGGAGATCAAATAAATGATGCAGAAAGGTCTTTGAGTTTTAGTGGATTGTAAAAGTCAAAAGGGCGGCTAGGTGGCGCCACAACGCATACAGTGCTGGGCCTGGAGTCAGGAAGACCTGAGTTCAAATCCTGCCTCAGACACTTCCTAGCTGTGTGTCCTTGGTCAAGTCACTTAACCCGGTTTGCCTCAGTTTCCTCATCTGTCAAATGAATGGAAGAAGGAAATGGCAAAACCACTCCAATATCTTTGTCAAGAAAACACCCAAATGGGGTCACGAAGAGTTGGACGTGACTGAAACAATCTTCATCTATAAAACAGGGAGAATGAACCCTGCCTCTCCCCATTTCCTAGGGCTTTTGGGAAGCCATATGATGCATGTGAAAGATTTGGGGTATCCATCAGAAACCGGGCAGTAGCTAGAGAAAGCATTTATTAAGTGCTTCCTTCAAATTTACTTATTACTTAGAGCTTTATTAAGGGCTTAACTGCTTATGTGCCAGGCACCATATGCTAAGTGCTGGGAATGTAGAAAGAACTGAGCAGCAACTGTGTCATGTTACTGGATAGTTGCCTCTGTATACTGTTAATACTGATGAGATTAAGGATGATCATTATTATGCTATTAATAATTTATTATAATTTATTGATAATTACGAGTGTATTCCTTTAGTATTATTCATTGGACTTTGGAGCCTCTGCTCAAGCCTGAAGGGAGAGACACGTATGCGGGCTTAGCCTCAAGGGGCACCCAGGAGTCCACAATCTGTACTCCTTTTCTCTTGGGTCTCGTGATAGAGTTAGTCTCTCTCTCTTTTTTTTTTTTCTTAGATTTAGTCTCTATTATATTAGCTACAACAGAGTCTTTCTGTCTGTACCATTCTAACTGTAAGCTGCCTCTCCCTAGGGCATTCTGGAGGAGGAGGAGACAGGACAGATGGGGCTTTATCTCTGGCTTCTCCACATGGCCCTTCCTTGAGATCTGCCCAGCCCTAGGAGCTGAGCTGCCATCTTCCAATCCCCCTCCGGTGGACCAAGCAGTGCCAGCCTGCTCCTTTTCCTCTAGAGCCCAGTGGGGAGAATATAGGTGGGACAGCTTTTCCTGAGGAGTATTCTGTTTCTCCCTCATCTTGTACCCTGAATGGTGGGTACATATCCCCAATGGTGGGGATAGTGGAAAGTCTATAGGGTCTGCATTCAGAGAATCTGGGTTCAAATCCTTCCGAGGCCATTTAGCACTTTTCTCTCTGGGCCTCAGTTTCCCCATCTGTATAATGGAGGGTTAGGGTTAGGGTTAGGGTTAGTTGGACTGCTGAGGTCCTCTCTAGGATCTGAGGATCCTTAGGCGATCCAAATTGTCCTAGTTGGTATCTCCTACACCCTGACGTTGGGGGATGGTCACAGACTGTGCTTAGGACATTGTTTGAAGAGAGAGTCAGATTTCACCAGTGCTTTCTCCTGTTGCTTCCCTCCCTTTTGCAGCCTTGTTGGTCTATTTGTTCAGTTGTTTTTCAGTTCTGTCCCATTCTCTGTGACCCCATTTGGGTTTTCTTGGCAAAGATACTGGAGTGGTTTACCATTTCCTTCTCCAGCTCATTTGAGTTAAGTGACTTGCCCAGGCTCACACAGCTAATAAGTGTCTGAGGCTGGATTTGAACTCAGGTCTTCCTGACTCCAGGCCTGGTGCTCTACTGTGCCACCTTTATTGACCCAAAGTTCAACAGATTCAGTCTGTGTGAGGATTGTATGGGAAATAAGAAAGTCTATACTGGGGGTGGGGAGCCTGCGGCTTTGAGGCCACATGTGGCCCTCTAGGTCCTCAAGTGTGGCCCTTTGACTGAATCCAAACTTCACAGAAGAAAGTGCCACACTTGAGGACCTAGAGGCCATGTGGCCTCAAAGCCGAAGGTTCCCACCCCTTAAGTCTAGACTCTAGAGTTAAGCCCAGCCTTTTCCTCTTCTCTTTGGTGGGGGGGTGAGTGGGAAGAGGAAGGGGCGACATTTGGCAGAGATGGGGTCCTGGCTGCATACTCTGCTGTAGGGAGGGGATGGTGCATTGAGCAGTGACCCAGGGACATGTTCGAGGTCTCCCTTGCTCTTCTCAGGCTCTGGGGCTCCTTGTGGGGGGTGGTGGAGCTGAATAGGGATAGAGGAGCAGGAGGCCAGGCTCTATAGTTTGGGCCAAGCAAAGTCCTCTGTACCCATGGTGGGTAAAGTGCCATTCCCTTGCTAATTTGCCTCCTGTTGCCATGGTAGCGGCTCGCCAGGGAATACTTCACCACACTCTGTTGTTATTTTCCTATTTATATCTCTGGGGCTGAGTCCTGTACCAGGTATGGGGCGAAGGGGGAGGCAGGCTCCAGGAGTGGCCTCTTCCTTCTCTCTCCTGCTGGTAGCTGAGGAGGAGGGGCTGGCATGGACTCCTTGGAGAAATCAGGCAGAGGCAGAGAGCTGGATGCCCCAGGCCCCAAGAGAAGCATAGGGTCAGAGGCTGGGGGCCAATGTACCACCCTGCCCATCTGTTCTAGGCAGCCCAGGCAACATGGCATTTGTGCCTAGGGCGGGGGCTTCCTAGAACACTGGCTTTCTTGCCTGTCCCCTCGGAGGGTGGGGCTCAGGCTTCTTCCTGCTGGGGATTTGGGGGGGGGGCTTCATTTTCTCCCTGTCCCATTCACTCTCCTTAGGTTGGCACCCAGGCTTCAGGCAGCTTGGCATCACCAGCCACAGAGCAACACCAGTGCGTGGGCCCCAGGCTCCTCCTGTTCCCATCTCTAGGATCAGGGCTAATTACAGTCTGTAATTAGGGGAATTACACTCATTACAGAAAGAGCTGATCATTGACAAAAAAAAATGCTGCACACAACACAACTTGGGCTATTGGAGGGATGGGCTTTGAAGAGGAGAGAGAAAGGAGGCAAGTGGAGGCCCAGCTGCCCCCAGCCTCCCCCTCCCCCCACATATACACACACACACACACACACAACACAACTTGGACTATTGGAGGGATGGGCTTTGAAGAGGAGAGAGAAAGGAGGCAAGTGGAGGCCCAGCCACCCCCAGCCTCACCCCCCCCCCCCACGACACACAGAGCCCAGAGTGGCACTTCCCCCTCTTCCCCCAAAGGGCTTGAAGCTCCTGGGTTCTATTCAGCTGCCTTTGTCTGGGCAAACAGAGGGAAAGTTCCATGTTTTGTGCAAAGGAATTTGCAGGGACAATGAAGGTCAGAGCTGCGTGAAATTATACCCGCTGCTGGTGGAGAATTGATGTGCCATTAAGGAGGCAGGATCCGGGCAGCCTCAACACACAGAAAGCTCCTCAGAGCCCCCTGTGCCCTCCCTTCTGTGGGTCCCACCTCCTAGGCACCCACACCTCCTTCTTCACAGGTAGCACTGCCTTCCCGTGGGTTCCCTTGGCCCTCCCGAAGGGCTCTCGTTGCCCTGTGCGAGATGGCATAGTCGTGTCTATCCTGGAAAAGGAGAGGGGTGAGACTGTCCCCTAGTTCCCCCCACCTGGGAGCTCCAAGGACCTGACACCACAGGGTCAGCCTTTCTGCACCCTGGTCCCAGCTCAGGGGAGCAGTGACCCTGGCAGCGAGTGCCTAGTGATGCCCTGCTCTGCTGTGGCACCTCTTCGGGTTGTGGAGGTGGCCGTTAATGATGTTAAATGATCCGGTAATTGCTCACACCAATTATCTCCCCATTAGTGTGCCTCAAAGCTCCCCTGATCATTTAACCCCGATGCAGCTGACTTAGAGGGGTGAAGGAGGGGGCCCAGTGCTCCCTGAATGGGTGCCAGGTGATTACAGGCAGAGATGGACTAGTTGGGATGGGGGGGGCTCAAGTCAAGGAACCTCTCAGTGATGTTTCTCTTAATCTTTCAGAGGCATTAGGCTGGACCCTTGGTAACCCACTAGTGGCGAGTGTTGGTTAACCAGTGAATACTATTCCCATTGCTAGATAGGGTCACTGGGGAAGTGGGGCAGGCTTAGGGTGGGTGGTATAGAGACAGAACAAGGGTGATGAGGGCTCACAGAATGGACTACTACTAAAGGCATGCAGGGAATCACTACTATCTGTGGCGGTCCTAAGCAGACTGGGGACCTGGAAGGGCCAACTGGACACACTTAGAGGGCCATCTAACCCCAGAAAGGGCCTGTTCTCCAGACCAGTGCTCAGCAGAGCGGACAGACAAGATGCTAGGGGTGCCAGACAGGCACTGACGCCATCTCCCCCCAACCAGATGGCGGCTCAGCCGGCAAGCCCATCTCTGTTTGCAAATAATTGTCTCCAATATTTCTCCCCAGGGCGTGATGGGAGTGGAGAAATCTGTTTGTAGGCACATGACCACATGCCACTGGACCAGGTACCCCCTCCAAGTGTCCTACCTTGGTATCGGAAGTGGAAGGTCCCAGGTCCTGAGGGTGGCAGGAGGCTCTGGAACCTCATGGCCACCTGGTTGGTGGGGCTTCGAATGATCTGGCCTGGGAGCAGGAATGATTGGTTGGCCAGGGGCAATGGCTCAGGGCCTCCCATACCTTCAACCGTCACTGTCTCGCCCTCCAGCAGGCTGATGTTCTGGACCTGTGGGCACAGAGTAAGCCAGTCAAGCCTCCTTCACCCAACACTGAGACAGGCATCTACGGGCCAGGCAGCCGGACTGGAAGTTTTCTGAGTTGTGGGGACCCCATGCTATCCTCTTCTGGTGCTCTGGGTTGTGTTCCTTACTCTCTTTCCCTGCCCTCCCTTGCCTTCCCTCTTTCCTCTCCTCCCCTCCCCCTTCCCTTCCTTCTTCTTCCCTCTCTTCTCCCCTCCTCTCTTCTCTCCCCTCCTCTCTTCTTCTGTCCTCTCCTCTTCTCTTCTTTCCTCTCCTCTCTTCTCCCCTTTACTCTGCTCTCTTCTTCTGTCCTCTCCTCTTCTCCCCTTTCCTCTCGTCCTCTCTTCTCCTCTTCTCTCCTCTCCTCCCCTCCCTTCCCTCCCTTCCCTCCCTTCCCTTCCTTCTTCTTCCCTCTCTTCTCCTCTCCTCTTTTCTCCCCTCCTCTTCCTCTCCCCTTTCCTCTTCTCTCATTTCCTCTCTTCTCCTGTCCTCTCCTCTCCTGTCCTCTCCTGTCCTCTTCTCCATTTTCCTCTCCTCTCCTCCCGCCCTTCCCTTCCCTTCCTTCTTCTTCCCTCTCTTCTCCTCTTGTCTCTTGTCCTCTCTTCTCCTCTTCTCTTCTCCTCCTCTCCCTTCCCTTCCCTTCCTTCTTCTTCTCCTCTCCTTCAGTGCAGTGCTTAATAATGCTTGTTTGAGTGCATAATTCCATCCCACTGCCTCATTTTACCATTGTCCCTTCTCCTCCCTTCCTCTTTCCCCCTCTTTCTCTTCTCTTCTCTTGCCTTCCCTTCCTTTCCCTTCCTCTCTCCTTCCTTCCCACTAAGCTCTGACCACTCAGGTGGACAGATAGCCTCAGGGGGAGGACAGGAACTATGTTTATTTTACTTGGTCTGTTCAGGACAGAATACAATGGCAAGTCCAAATAGGTGCTCAGTGAATAGAGCCGGGAGTATTGGGAAGAGCCTTGGATTGTGAGTCTGGAGATCCGGTCTCTGCCACTAACTGGCTTTGGGAGCTTGGACAAGTTAAATGATGGGATTGGACTCCACCTCCAATGTACTTTCCAGCACTGTAGTACTACAGTCTGCAGTAGTAAACATGACTGGTAAACGCTATCCACAACATGGTGGATAGTGGGTGGATAGCTAACCTAGAAACTAAGACCCAGGTTCCAGTCCTACCTCTGACTTCTACTGCCTGTGTGACCCTGGGAAAGTCAGCACTTAACCCTTCAGTGCTCCAGGCAACTAAGTTACTGAGAAGGTGCTAACCTGCATTAGTAGGGTTTCACATACCAACTTTGCAGTCTTATTTCATTTCCCTTCTCTTCAGGCACTCTCTGTTCCAATGGAACTGACCAACCTCCTTGTACATGATAGCTTTGCACAGTCAGTTTTCCTAGTACGGCATGAACTTTCTCCCCGCTTCTTTCTCTGTAAATTCCCCGTAGAGTGTAAGCTCATTGGGGCCAGGGACTGTTTCATTTCTGTCTTTGTACCTTAGCGCCTAGCACAGTGTAAATGCTTAATGAATGCTGGCTGAATTGAATAATTAAAGCCAGTCCCCTTGTTTTACAGACGTGGAAAATGAGGCTCAGAGAGGGGATCTGCTTTGTTCAAAGCCACTGAGTGAGAAGAAGAACTAGGGCTCAAAACCAGGTCCTTTGACTCCAAATCCAGTACTCTTTTCACTACATTGATCTTTAGAGTTTGATCCAGATTACTAAGGAAGGGGGCTGGATCCTAAATCAGCACGGGCTTGGGTGGGGAGAGCTGAGGAAAAGGGTGCTTTAGAAAGGCAAAGCTAGGGCAGCGAGGTGGCGCCAGCCTTGGAGTCGTTAGGACCTGAGTTCAAATCCAGCCTCAGACCAAACACTTGATGCTTACTAGCTGTGTGACCCTGGGCAAGTCACTTAACCCCAATTGCCTAAAAAAGGGAAAGCTGATTTTCTATGGGGGCCAAATGCTTTCAGTCTAGACAGAATCTTGGACCAACATCTTTGGGTCTCAGTTTCCTCATCGCATTAAAATCTTTTTTGATAACTATTTCAATGTAATGGGTTTTCTTTGTTTTTATTTCATACATTTAAAAACATTCTTTTGAGAAGGGGTCTACAGGCTTCACCAGATTGTCAAAGGGTCTATCACACACACACACACACACACAGACACACACCTACCCTGACCCCATTCTGCAGCTGAGGAAGTTCTGCCTTCAGAGGAGGTCGACAAAGTTGTGAAAGGTGAAGAAAGTGCTGGGACCCAAGGCAAATGGCTCCCAGAGCATTCCAAAGAGGGATGGCTGCTGTCCTTGGGAAACTGGATTAGATAGAAGAAGCCTTAGACCCAGGGGCAGATCCTGCACAGCCTGGCTGCTAAAAGAGTTAGCTGACTTCATAGAAGTAATCAGGTCACACAGGTCCCTCTTTTGCTTGCCTCCTTGCCTTTGCACTGGCTGTCCCTCATGCCTGGAATGCCCTCCCTCCATCTTTACCTTCCTCTCATAGAATTCTTTGTTTGCTTCAAGGCTTAGCTCAATTTCCACTTTCTGCATGAAGTCTTTCCTGATTCTCTCTCTCCCAGCTGCTGGAGCCTCCTTCACAAATTACCCTGCATCTATTTTTGTACCTATTTTGCATAAACCTATATGGGCATGTTGTGTCCTTAAGGGCAAGGACTGCTTCATTCTTTGTATCCCTACCTCCCAGCACAATGCATGACACATAGTAGGTGCTTAATAAATGCTTGTTGGTTCATTGACTGAAGGGAAAAAAAGGAGGTGATGTAGTATTCTACTGGAGCCCAGGATGGGTTCCATCTGCATCCATTTCTTACCAGCACTCGAACCTGGTTCTTCTGATTCCAGGTTCAATGGTCTGTCTATTACGCTATAGAACTAGAGACTTTTCTCCTTTATCTTCTTTCTTATTCCCTTCCTCCCCTCTCCTCTCCTTTCTTCCCTTACTTCTCTTTTCCTCTCCTCTCTTCCCCTTTCCTTTCTTCTTCTCTCCTCTCTTCTCTCCTTTCTTCTCCTCCCCTCCCTCCCCTCCCTTCTTTTCCTTCTTCTTCTCCTCTCTTCTCCTCTCCTCCAACGCAGTGCTTAATAAATGGTACCACCCTTAGGCTGTGAGTTCCTTGAGGATTCAGTCTTTTGCCTTTCTTTGTATCCTCAGTGCTTAGCACAGTGCCTGGCACATAGTAGGTGCTTAATAAATGCTTGTTGACTGTCTGAAGGGGAGTGGGGGAGGGACAGCTTCCCTCTACTCTAGGGCTGCCCCAAGCCTCCAGCCTGTCTCCCCTCACCCAGAAGCTCCTCATTCACTGCCTCTCAGTTGACTGTAGCTCTCTGGGAGTAATGTCCTGGATGCCCTTCCTCTTGGATTCTGCCACCTGCCGTGCCCCACCTCCCTTTCCTTATTGTCCCCGATTCACCAGCAAGGAATCAGCTTCCAGCTGCCCTGGCCCCCGGGGAGCCTGTCCTGCTTGCTCCGCTCTTCTCCCCATGTTCCCCAGCAGCTGTTTTTACCTAACGTTCTTGTCTCTCCCCGAGAGATGTAACCAGTCAGGGACGAACCAGACTTTGCCTCAGGACATTGACATACAGTGGGGCGTGCTGCCTCCCTCTGGTGACCACCGTCCCTGCATGTGCCCACGTGGAAGAGGCTGCTGTGGTGACCTTCTTAGTCAATCAATCAACCAATTAACAAGCATTTCTTAAGCAGCTACTGTGAGCCAGGCTCTCTGGTAGATGCTGAAGATAACAAAAAAAGGCAAAAACATTCCATAGCTTCCAGGAGCTTCCCCTGGTCGTCTCACTTTCTTCCCCTGCATGCTCACAAGGAGTGAGGGTTAGAGGACCCTCCCTCTCCTTGTGCCTTCGTAGACCTGGCCTCTTGGCATCTGCTGCCTACACCAAACCCAAACTGGTTTTGACTCAGTTGCAAAGATTCTAGTTTCCTAGCATCCTACATAGGGTCATACAACCACAGGGCTCGTCTTGTCCAGCCACCTTATTTTATAGAGAGAACCAAGGCCCAGAGAAGTTTTCAATTCTCCAGGGTCACACAGCAAGTGAGCAGTAGGATCAGAATAATTGCACCCCAGGGCCTCTGACTGATTTCAGCATCTTTCCCCTGACCTACAGCTTGCTTCTGTGCGGTCCTCATTCCTCCTCTCTGCTGGAATCCTCCGTGGACTCCACCCTGGCTCCTGGATGCCAGAGCTCCTGAGGGAAACTGAGTCGCCTCTTTCTCAGGAGATAGTGATTGGCTTCCCCAAGGCTGGAGGCCTCAGGAGGTGGAGTAGGACTTAGGAGCTGCCAAGTCGGCACTTCTATTATCAGGAGATAAACGCAGCACTTTAGAATAGAATTCTGAGTCTGGAGTCAGAGGGTCGAATCTTTCCTTCCTGTGTGACCTTTATCTTGTTTCTTACTCCTTTCCTCTCCTCTCCTCCCCTCTCTTCCCTTCCTTCTTCCTTCTCTTTTCCTCTCCTCTCTTCTTGTTTCCTCTCTTCTTACCAGCACTTGAACCTGGTTCTTTTGATTCCAGGTTCAATAGTCTGTCTATTACACTATAGAACTAGAGACTTTTCTCCTTTATCTTCTTTCTTATTCCTTTCCTCCCCTCTCCTCTCCTCTCCTCTTTTCCCTTCCTTCTTCCTTCTCTTTTCCTCTCCTCTCTTCCCCTTTCCTCTCTTCTTCTCTCCTCTCTTCTCTCCTTTCTTCTCCTCCCCTCCCTCCCCTCCCTTCTTTTCCTTCTTCTTCTCCTCTCTTCTCCTCTCCTCCAACGCAGTGCTTAATAAATGGTACCACCCTTAGGCTGTGAGTTCCTTGAGGATTCAGTCTTTTGCCTTTCTTTGTATCCTCAGTGCCATTGTCTAGGCCTTAGCATCTTCCTTTGTAAGATGAGAAGGTTGGACTGAATGGCCTTGGAATTCTCTTCCATCTCTGATTCTGATCTTGCGCCAATCTGTCATCGTTATCCCTTGGT